GGTTGCCAATCGTCTTCATCTGACCAATCAACAATCTTTACTTTACCCTTTTTAACTTGACTGTCATATTGTAAGAAGAAAAAAAACATGAATAATGACAAGTATTATTATTTAACTAGAGTAACGACAAGTGGCGGGCGATAACCATCACCACCATCCTTAAAACACTTACCCAGCAACTCCAGAATCATTTTGTCTACTTCTTTTATTAATTTGTGTTTTTCTCATTTTTTTTAAAGTTTGTTATTTGATCGATGCGTACACATTAATTATTTATCCTATTGGTTTTTTTTTTCTGGTAGGACAGACGTGAATGATTTTTTGACAGAGTCCAAGGTGACAAAACATGAACGTTGTTGTTTGGTTTGGGTCTCCTAAAGAAAAGGTGTTAATAACTAACCAGAGGTACTACTTTTTTTTACTTGTATTGATATTTTTGGTTATTATAAATATTTTAATTGGAAATCAAAACGCGGAGCAGATCATTGCTGGGTAATTACAAGATTTTCATTGATAATAATAATACTTTGCTTTTCGTAATCGTAATAATAATAATACTATTATTATTATTATTACAAGATGTCAAGGCAGCATTGACTGTTAAATAAGAAACATTTCAATATGCAATGTTTGATTATCGAAAATTGACAGGTGTTGAAGCACACACACTACCTTGAACACACTACAGTCATTCTCACGTATTCCTTGTGTTCAAAAGGCTAATCTGACCAAGATTTCCATGATGATACAATAATGCTACTGAATTCCAGGGGGGGGGCGCATGGCCCTGAAGTTTATCATGATTGCATCAATCGTCAAAGACACTTTCACTAATCTTCCCAGATCAGAGATGGCTGCTGGCACGCTAGCCGAAAAGTCACCTGCAACGATTCCACCTCTAGGGTAAGGGTGGCACTGTGACCAAGCTGTTGCAACTCTGGAGGAATATTAAGAGAATCTGCAGCTCGTTTCAAGCACAGGAGGTCACAATTCAGAGCAGGGTTGGTGGCCCTGAAATTGCTTTTGGGCTCTGATGTTAAGAGAAAAGTTGTAAAATAGTGTTTGTTTGTATAATCACTTTCCTAAATTCTTTGTTTTTTTGATTCTAACCAATTTAATAATTTTGGATAGGGGACTGGGATGGGTTTTTGCCCAATCAGTCCCCTTGTCCTGTAGGTTAAAATTGTCACATGATTATATACATCTTTGTCAGCAATGTGGCCAATGAGAAAAAGTCATAAAATGGTTTGGATTTTGTTTGGTATGTTTTGTTATAAAAGAAAATTCAGTTAAAGTTTTACAATTAATTTATGCCAATGAAAAATTTAAAGAATTTAAAAAAATCTATTTAGAAAAATTTTGTGAATATAGTGAAAAACTATTTGAGTCAAATGAATTTAAATCATTGAAAAAACCAATTCTATTAGAAATTCTCAAAAGAGATGATTTTTCAGTTAAAGAGATGGTTATTTGGGAAAACATTCTTAAGTGGGGATTAGAAAAACATCCAGAAATCAACAATATCAATGTTGAAGATTGGTCATCACAAAATTTTGTTGATTTGGGTAACACATTAAAAGAGTTTTTTTCTCTAATAAGATTTCAGGATATCTCTAAAAAGGATTTTGTTGATAATATTGAACCATATCATATGCTACTTCCTAGAACTTTATGGAAAGCCCTTTTACAATATCATATGTTTCCTGATAGTCAACAAACTTTGAATTTATTACCATCAAGAATTTTAAAATTGAATTCAACACTTGAATCATTGACAATCAACCAAAATCTTACATTGCTTTTTGCAAGTTGGATTGATAGAAAAAGCCCACCATATATCTCATTCAAAGAAGTCAAATATGAATTTAAACTTCTATATCATAGCACTAGAGAAGGTTTTGATGGAGAAATATTTCATCAAAATTGTGGTAATATCAACAAAACTCTTGTAGTTGGCAAAATACGAAATTCAGAGCAAATAGTTGGTGGATATAACCCACTTAGTTGGAATGGAACTGGTGTATATAAAAATACAACTGAAAGCTTTATTTTTAATATTAGTGATAGAAATGATATTAGCACTGCACAATTTTAGTTATGTTGTCAAAAGTAAATATGCAATTTATTGTAAAACTAATTTTCTTGGTTTTGGTAGTGGCTGTGATCTTTATTTTAATGCATATGGTAGAGTTGGTGGTAAAAATGTTGCTTATAATAACATCAAGATAGTAGACAATGATGAATTTGATGAATTCGAAGTTTTTCAAATAATTTAATGTTATTATTTTTATTTTATTCTGTTATCATCTACCAATGTATTATTTAATAATATTAAATAAAAATATATATTGTTGGCTTAAATCTTTACTAGTTGTTATGTATAAATTCGACTATAACGTTGTGCTCACATAGCTGTAAACTCGAGTTTTATCTTGATTGCTTGAAAGCGGACATGGATGTCGTGGCCGAATGTAGAAATATTGAGTTCCTTGCACCAAAAGACCTGAGAGACATATCTTTATGTTCGTTGTTGGTGTGCCCTATTTATATGTTTCGAATTTGATTGTGTGAATGTGTAATACGTAAAAAACAAAATCTCACTTTGCGTTCTCACTCGTAAACCTGTTGAAAAAAATTTACTCTTAGTGTTAGTTGCTAAACCGATTAATTTGAATTAATAAAAATGGTTTGATATAATAATAAAAAATTATCAATCAATAATAAAAGACTATTATTCGAATTATAATAAAAATGATATAATAATAATATGTGTGTTCTCCCATCATTATCAAAAAAACTTTTATAAAATTAAAAAATGACATCTTTGTTCACCTCAATAAATAACTCACCACTAGGTCTGCTACATGTAGAATTAGTAATTCAAATATTACGAAAGATAAAATGTCTTTAATCGTTGGTAGGGTTATGATGAAATTAATGTAATGCGAACAAACAGGGTTTTTTTTATTTTAGTTTTAATATCAATGATAATGTATAATAAAATGTCATTTATTTTTTCCAAAGCTTACAATCATACATAGAACGCACTCCTTTAAATATTCCATCAACTTCTAATACTTATCAATATACGATCGCCACCATTAGGAGTTTTTCATCATCGCCTGGAAGTCAGTTGATAATGAGAGCATCTTTCCTCTAAAAAGAGATGTCAATAATGGTGTCACAGAAAGAGCAAATAGTACAAAAGTTCTTTGTAAATTCAAAAATAGCAAGGGTTCACAAATGTGAAGGCTGCAATAAAAAGAGATTCAGTAATTTCAGCTGTTGGAGAAGTTGGAAATCGTCAAAACAATTTGGTTATCCTGTGTGAGTGTATTGAGTGGATTATCATAAAGAGTAGTAGTGAAACTAGAATGATGCTTGCAGAGAAACAGTTGCCGAAAAAAGACGCAGCTTCGAATCAGTAGTTAACGAGTTCGAGGATAGTTCAAAAATAAATATCAGGCGTGGAGATGAAACAAAGATGTCCTTTTATCTAGTCGGGTGTTTGCATTCTGTTTTGAAAGTTTTATTTTAATCAAAAATAATGTTCTTTTGCAATTTATAAAGACAAATGACAGAACCGAATGTGGAATCATTGAGTTCATTGCTAGATGATAATTATTGTATGTTGTGTTGTAATCTCTTTATCAATTCATGAATATTGAAATCCCGTTATTTTAGGAGATGGTTGGTTCACTAATAATAATATTTTTTTTTAAATTTAGAGGATGATCAACTGTCAATGATGATGAAGAGATTAATAATGAAGAGGATATATATATCATAAATAAAATATTGCAATAAGAGTTAATAAATTTATTAGTATATCTATATCCCAAATAGCACAATAAAGATAATAATATGCTATCTGATACAATAGCAAGGGAGACTGATTATGAATTTCTTATTTAAATAGTCCTAGAATTCCAAACTCGCCTTTTTTTGTTTACTCTTTTTTAACAAGTGTGGATCAAAACATGTTTGCGTTAGAATTTGATTTTGATTGTGTGAAAACGGACGATTTGGTCATAGTGTTAGGGGAGTATTAGTATTAGTATGCAAAGTCGAACAAAGTGTACAAATAGAATTCTATAAGAAAAATTTCTGGCAAAACGAATGATTTTAATATTTTTTTAATTATTCTGCAAATATTATGACACTCAAAGTTTGTCCAGCCAATCTCTAGAGAATTCACTAATATACGATTATTGATTTATTAATTATTAGCAAACCATTCAGAAGATGGTTTTTCGTATCTGAAGGTGTACTTAGTATGAATCTTTAAACTAAGAGAATATTTCGCTGAGTTTTCAATAAAACAATTTAAACAAAATATAAACATGAATTAAAATTTATAATTTTCCTTCGCCTATTTTAAATGATGAAAAATGACTTTTGGAATAACTTTTGACATATTGGTAATACATAATTTGTATACACACACATTAAACCCTCTACTTGTAAGTGCTTTAGACATAAATTTTTGGTTATGCTCATGAACTGGCTACCTTTTTTTAAAGGAAAGATTTAAGAGTAACTTCAAAAAATTATTATTCTTTATTTTACATGTTGAGCTAACATTATTTTTATGTATCAAATATATATAATTTAAACCTCTATCTACTTATGAATTTTAGATAATATCATTTGGTCAAAAATTTGTTGAGTTATCTCAAATAAATACCTACAGTCAAATCATTCTTGAGGCAAGAAAATTTCAAATACTTATTATATGCATACAATAAGAGCTACCACGCAACAAAATTGTCAACAAAAGAAAATAATGAAGAAAAACGTCTAAAGAAATCTTCTATAATTGTGGTATATATAGTAAACCTCCATTGATACTTTAAAACATAATTTTTTTTCATTATTGAATTTTTTTTGGCTGTTTAGTGTTTAAAAATAGAAATCATTGTACTAATAATTTAGATATAATTTTTTCAACCTTTATTTTCATTCCACAAAAAAAGAACAATAATTTTGTAATATGCAATAATCAATAATTTATACATAAATAATTAAAAGAAAATAACCTTTACAAGCAAACAAAAAAAAAATTTTATAAAGTATGTTTTCTGTTATTTTAAGTATATAAATTGTTAATTATTTTTTCGCAAAGAAAAAAAAAAGTTGAATTTTTACATATTTGATATTTTCATCAATGTATTGATTTATTGGCCGATTTTTACCTGAATCCTTTTTATTGAAAAAAATACGGACCAAATCGGACCAAATTTGATTGGTATCAATCATCAATCGAATATTCGACCGTGGTCGAATGACAGATCCAGTGATTTGTTGACTGCAGTTTGCAGATCTATAGAATTTGTTTTTTAAAATAAGTGTTTCAACAAATACAAAAAGTGTATTAAGTACTGGTTCAAGTGTTTCAAGATTAGAAAATATTTCTAATTCGGTGATATGGGATTTGCAATCTATTACTCCAAAATTGAAACGAAAAGCTGATATCCAAACAAAATATGCAAAGCAACTATCTAAAGAAGGTATAGATACTTTTTGTCAATTGCTTCTTCATGCAACAATTTCATGTGGATGGTCTTTTAATTGGGTAGAGGATCAGAAAGTAATTGATTTATAAATCTTGGAATTACTTTACCAAGTAAATCACTATAACTATTTAATGTTGTAAGGCAAGATGAAATTCTGAAATTGGTTTGATGACTGGAAAAATATTGTTAAACAATAGCTTCTGATGGAAGAAGTTTGGTTTGGGGTGGCAACAATATTTCAACTGAAAGATAAAGAGAAATTGGGTGCGATGAATACATTGAAACTTGGTTAGATGAAGTTAGAAAAATTATATAAAAATAAATACAGTGATCACTGATTCTGCTAGTGGTTTTATTGCAGCAAGATATTGTCATTTTCAAAAAATTATATAATTAATGTTAAATGTTGCATGTGAAACTCAAATTTCCCTTTTATGAATTTGAAACGCAACATTTACATTTATTTTTATTTTTATTTTTATTTCATTCTTTTATTTTCATTTTTTTTAATTGTTGGATTTATTATTTAAAGTTTTGCATTTTAATACAATAAATACATATGTAAACTCGATAAGTCGGTCATGTCGGGGCAGACTCCTGTGACCGACTTATTGAGAGAATCGACTTATCAAATTTCACGTGATTTTTAATTTATTAAAATAAAAAATGTTAACATTGAAAATATATAATATATATAATAATAAACATCGAAAATATATAATAATAAACATAATAATAATAAAACTATATCAAAAAAACTAAGGATTATTTCTATTATAAAGATTTTCTTCTAAAGTAGGTTGCTTTAGTGAAGCATTTTGTTTTCTTCTAATTTGTTGTTGTAAATCTCTCAATCCTGAGATTACTGAACTGTTAACTTTTTATATCGGAATTTTGTTGCAAATAATTAAATAGATTTTGGATGTTATTAATGGCAATTGTATTTGATATTTGAATACTCATCATATCTTCTGCTTCTTCCTCTTCTTCCTCTTCTGGAGCTTCTTGTACTGCAGATGATATAAAAATGAGATAAAAAAATATAGATGTATTGTTTGCAATTAGACAAGAATGTTCTCTGAATTATTTGAATGATACAATTGAAGATACAACTGCTGAGATAATAAAATATTAATGCATTATTCATGATAAATGATAAGAATTAATGACACAATTGATGATATAACTGCTGAGATAATAAAATATTAATACATTATTCATAAAACATAATTGTAGTTCACAAGTGAGAATGCTCTCTTCCTTCTAAATTATAAATGAGATAATAAATGGATACAATTGATGACATAAAAATGAACAATAAAGAGTTTTTACATCAGATATTTTATTACAAATAATCATTTTGCTAATGACGAAATATTACGAATAAAAATTATTAGATCATACGTTACTAAAATAGTAATGATGACCCTTTACATAATGAGATATCACGTGAGACCGACTTATTGTGATTCATTTAATTATACTTGGGCTAAGTGATTGACCGACTTAGCGCTTATCGCGACTTTATATAGATTGACCGGACTTATCGAATTTTTTTAAATATATAGTAAAAAAACGGGGTGAAAATTTTTGGCCGAGTTAGGCTAAAACTGACTTATCGAGTGACCGACTTATCGAGTTTACATATGTAGAATTATTTACATATAACACGTGATCAATCCATCCAATAAGATGATTGGTTGATGTCAATAAACCAATTGGGTTTAGTGTGCCAAAACTATCAGCTACAAATTTATTATGTTAAATTGAAAAGATTGTGACTGCAGGTAAATAGTTAAATAGTTTTATATTTGACATTAACCAGTGAGCGTTATCAAAAAAATAATTCAAATGGAAATTTTGAGGTGGGGCTATTTAATAATTAAAAAAAAAAAAGAAATGGAAGTTAGAGAAAAAATTTGGAGTGTAAATAAGTTTAATTATAAACTTTTCTATCAATAGTAAAAACAAAATCTATCTAATAAAAGTTACAAGGGTTTTAAGCTCGTTTTATTGGTTAATATCTCTAGTGTCTAAATATCCAAATACATTTGATGAGAATCTATATAATTATTATAATATACAGTACCTGGAAGAAAGTATCCGAACGCAGTTTTTCGAAAATTCCGCAAAATATTACATAATAAAAAAATA